CCCGGCTGCTGGCACTGGCTTCCCTCTGGTACCCGGAACCCGGGCTTCCCTCCAGCTGCCAGCAGGCATCCGGGACCCAGGCTTCCCTCGCAGCCCCGGCTTTGTCCAGAAGGACGCCCGGAAGGACGTCCGGTCTAATTAGCTTATTATGCTCTCATCATTATTATAGATGAGAATCAAATTAATCTGGTGTTATTTTGTGGCATAGACTAAACTCCATGAGAGTTGGCTATCTTATTCCTCTGCTGTCCCTCACATCCAGCCCAGGAACTCCATAAAAACTGTTGAACTTCACATAACGGAACTGGGCTTGATGCAGTAATATAATTTGGGCTTCTTTGTCTTAAAGTTTGTAATGAGAACAAGAATTGCAAACCTGAATAGTGATTCATTGACTTCACTGCACATGTGCTAACCTGTCCTAAAGATACTGGTTGGTATGTACTTTAATTTTTAAAAAGTTAATTTTAGAGAATGTGTAAATTTCCTCACAAGCTTTGAGAAGTTATTGGCTCTATCCCTAATGCAACCATAGAATTAGATGTTAAGGATAGAATTGCTACCTAACTGCACAGAAGAATTTATGTAGAATAGGATGTTTGTTTGATATTTTACATTCCATAATGTACTTTATCATGTTTGGGAACTTCCTCTCCCCCCCCCCCCCCCCCCCCCCCCCCCCCCCCCCCCCCCCCCCCCCCCCCCCCCCCCCCCCCCCCCCCCCCCCCCCCCCCCCCCCCCCCCCCCCCCCCCCCCCCCCCCCCCCCCCCCCCCCCCCACCCCCCCCCCCCCCCCCCCCCCCCCCCCCCCCCCCCCCCCCCCCCCCCCCCCCCCCCCCCCCCCCCCCCCCCCCCCCCCCCCCCCCCCCCCCCCCCCCCCCCCCCCCCCCCCCCCCCCCCCCCCCCCCCCCCCCCCCCTCCCCCCCCCCCCCTCCCCCCCCCCCCCCCCCCCCCCCCCCCCCCCCCCCCCCCCCCCCCCCCCCCCCCCCCCCCCCCCCCCCCCCCCCCCCCCCCCCCCCCCCCCCCCCCCCCCCCCCCCCCCCCCCCCCCCCCCCCCCCCCCCCCCCCCCCCCCCCCCCCCCCCCCCCCCCCCCCCCCCCCCCCCCCCCCCCCCCCCCCCCCCCCCCCCCCCCCCCCCCCTCTCTCTCTCTCTCTCTCTCTCTCTCTCTGTTACTAACAAAACTTCATTATCCATTCATGGCATTTAGAACTTCCATTTTAGATAGAAAATCTCCAGATATATTATGTAATTTTATATATTACACCTACTATGTGTTTTTTATATTTAGAGAGGAAGTGCAGTGTGGTAATTAATGGCATGGATCTGCAGCTGGGCCCTCTGACTCGCACCCAGGCTCTGTGACGAGCTCTGTGACCTCAGGAAGGTTAACAACCCTCATGCCTCATTCGCTCATCAGTGAAATAGAAATAATAGCCTGCCTACTAGGGTCATTACAAGGTTAAATTAGCTAAACTATTTTAAAGCATTACCGTAGTTTCTGGCACAGCAAGTACTCTATAAATATTTGTCACTTTATTAGCATTGTCTTTGTTATTAACATTTATTCTAAATCACTGACTGACTAAAGCTTGGTTGGGTCAGCTTGTTCTGTTTTCTTATGGTGCTTTACATAGACTCAAGAGTGACTGGCAGAAAATACCTGGTAGAGGATGAAGCATGACCCCTGTTATTGTCTCACCTCTTTCAGCTCCTGGTGTCACAGCTTCTTCACCAGTGGGGACAGGAGGGCTTCCTGGCCCACATAGAGAGGTAAGGCATTTCAGGTCCCATTTTCCACATAGAAATGGACTCTGACTTATAATTTTCTATTTTTAATTATTCCACAATAGAGGAAAAAGCATGGTGGTAAAAGCTTACCACCAGACAAGTCAAATAAACATGCCCTATTTCCTTATATGGCATTCATTTTCATCAAGATAGAAAATGGATTCTTATAGAGCCTCTTAGTTTCGGCAGTCAGTGTACTAAACACATCTTTTTTCACTGTTTTCTTCATCTAGGGTTATTGATTACTATAGGAAGCAGAAGGATGCATTACTGAAAGCTGCAGACAAGTGGTTAAGTGGTGAGTAGAACATATACCCCCGTCCTTCGATAAACAGCAGTACTATATAAGTGGGTGATAAACACTGCATAGTATTGTTAATAATCCCGGGGTAAAGAAACAAGAGTCCAGGAGTGTTCTTGTCAAGAAAATATTACCCTATAAATAATCTCAGAAGGAACAGTCTGCAAACCCTGACCCATTTCTACCTAGCTGCTGTGAAGAATTTGTCCTTTAAAAAAAAAGACCAATTCGTCTAATAATCAACCAGCAATGTTAGTTCAAGATAAATAACATCTATACTCAAAAATTTTTAGAGTTATTTCAAAATTTTCCTCTAAGTAGAAGAGGAATTGTGAAACAAACAACATACTCTTTTTCTAGCTGGATTATCTAAAGACAAAATGCTAATACAGTCTACAGAGGATTTCTCATTACAAATGACTTGCCTTTTAATCACTAACCTCATTTATCTGTCTACTACTCTCTATTGCTAATTTAATTGCAGGGTGGGTTTAATTTTCTATGAAAAATAAGGAAGTAAAATGAATTACGTGGCTTTAATTATATCATGAAAAATACCTCTGGTGTGAATAACAGTAAGCAAAATATATTAATTCCTTAATACTGTCATAGCTTATTTCCTATGAATTATTGATAAAAATATAATTTTTTTTTTTATAAAGAGTACTATTCTACCATTTTGTACAGTGGAGCTGAAGAAAAGGTTTTAATCAACAGCAACAAAAAGATAATTAAAGTCAAAATAATTATCCTTCCTTCTTGGTTTCTCTATCCTAATACTCATTGAAACATAAAGCCTACAAATGCAACTGGAATGCCTGATTTTAAGTACTTCTGTTCATAATTAATTACATTCTGATAAAAACTTTATTCCATGGGACTTCTAAACTATTACATAAATGACAGCACTGATTGAAACACTGGAAGAATCTAGAAAGAGTTGAAGAATCCTCTTCTAAGATTGAAAGAGTCATATTTGGCTCAGGTATGGTTCTAACTAAAGGAAGTAGACATAGACACTAGACTTGTGCCACCCTAAGTCTGACTAAAATTGTAAATAGGCACACACGAGTCTCCCTCCCTGCCTTCACCCCCTTTCTCATTCACTTTTTATTTTATTTTATTGAGAGAGCGAGAGACATCAATTTGTCTCCTTTTACTTATGCACTCACTGGCTGAGTATTGGTTGTGCCCTGACCAGGGCTCAAACCTGCAACCCCAGAGCATCTGGACGACGCTCTAACCAACTGAGCTACCTGACCAGGGCTTACTTACTTTTTTAAAAAAAATAAAACTCAGACCATCAATTTTCAGGACTCATAAAACTATATATTTTTAAATGCTATCACTGAAGGAACTTTTATGGAAATACTAGTTTATAGTCATTGCAATTATGTCATTAAATGATATGTGATATCAAATATAGCTTCAGCAGATATTTATTCCCTTCTTCTATTTGTAGGTTTGGCAGAGTGGCATGCTCCTACTGCTGGGATGTTTGTATGGATTAAAATTAAGGGCATTTCTGATGTAAAAAAACTGATTGAAGAAAAAGCCATTAAGAAAGAGGTAAAAAGGCAGAAATAGTTTTACTGTTACTATAATGTAATTTCTTACTTAAATAAAAATGGAGAGATGTTTATCATCGCCTAACACCCCAACTCATCATGTTTTAATATCAGATATGTTATCTCATTATTAAAATCATAATAGATTTTTGGGTTACATAGTTATTATTCTGGTCTAAATTAATGGAAATATAGTCATCGATCTCAGCTGCTGGTTGGTTTAATGGCTAAGAGCACAGTCCCTGGAGCCACACTCCTTGGGTTTGAATCCCATTTCCACCCTTTACTGGATGTGTGGCTTCAGGCAAGTTACCCTCCCTGCGTTTTAGTAATAATGAGACTTTCTCCCTCATAATGTTGTTATGATAATTTAGTAAATATATATAAAGCACATAGACTAGTAAATGCTCAGTAGGCATTAGCCTTTAGTATTTAAAATAGAGCCCCCTACCCTCTCCCCCCCATTATGAAAGTAAACCATATTCATGGTAGCAAACTTAGAAAAATATAATGAAAAATTTTTAAATAGCTCAATTTCACCACCCAGATTTTATGACCATTTGTGGTGTATTTATTTGAAGAGCCTGTATATAGCTGATATTTTGGCTACACAATTATTTCACATGGTTAAAATTACCCAGAAAAGTTTCTATCCTGCTGTTTGTACTTCAAATTAGCCCATGATGATTTCTTCTATGTTTTTTAATTCTCCCTTTATACTTAAATCATAAGTCTATTTAGATTTCATTCAGGGGCATTGAATAATCTCAGAAATCCAAGTATTTTTCTGTATAGCTTTCCAATTTACCAAATAAATTATCCTTTCTCCATTAATTAATTCTCTTACCATGTTTATCAGTCTTTTGTAAACACTAAGATCTATTTCTAGTATCATTTTATAGTATTAATTTTTGCCATGAAGCAATAGAATAAATGATACAAAAGAATAGATTGTAAAAAAAAAAAGAACAGATTATGTTGATGATAGCAAGTGCCCTGCTAGTACCTATGAGATGAAGCAGTCTAAAGGTTAGACCTAGCAACTGGCTGGATTTCTGGGCTAGCCCCACTCCCTTGGGAAACTCATTCATCCTCTCTAACCATCTTACTGGAGGGAAAGACTCATGCTTTATGCATTGTTCTAATCCTAGCAACAACACATAGTAGGTACTTACTAAATATGTAACTGGTTTATTTCAAATAAATATATTTTAGTATAACAAATCAATTTTATATTTTCTTTAGTTTTCTATCAATGCCATTATCTTTAAGAACATTTGATAAGTGGCTATTTGTATGTATCTCTGAGCTACATGCTAAGGATATAGACTTCATATTTTATTGCACTTCTTTTTTCAGTCCTTTTCATTTATTCCAGATATCCTGTTGCCTGTACCTTTACTTTTTCTAAATAATCTCCAATTTTATCACCACTGCCTTAGCTCAGACTTTGGTCATCTTACAGAGATTTTTACCACTCCCTCCTTCTCATACAGCAGTTTGTTTCTAGCACATCCCAAAACTTTTCGGCTAAATTGGGAAAAATGATTTTCATTTTATTGTTATTAAGAACACAAAAACCTATCTTCTCCATTAAAATCTCTTCCCCAGAGTGCCCCCAAATCATTCCATTCCCTACTCCTCTTACCTTAGCAGACACTGCCCATATTTGTACCATGTAACAACAAGCAGTTACTAATACTTTTGAATATCATGATTGTACTACATTAACAATCTCAAAGATTGAACATAATTGACGTTTATTTCTGACTCACATAAAATTTCAAGTAACTGATCTTTAGGCAACTGTACTCCAAGCAGTGATTCAGAGACCCTGGTTCCTTCCATCTCCTTGCTCTTCAGTCTTCAACACAGAGAGTCCACATGGCTACAAAATGGAAAGAGCATGGTGGATCACACAGGGGAAGAATTTTATGGATCAGGCCTAGAAGTAGCACACATCACTTCACATCCATTGACTAGGATTCAATCATGTGTCCACGTATAATTAGAAAGAGGCTGGGGAATAGAATATATTTGTGCTTTGCCACATATATATGTTACATGAATATGTATAAAAAAAATATCCAAAAGGACCAATGATAAATGCTGACAGCAATTGTCTTTGGGGGGTGAGAAAATAAGTGGCTGCTTTTCCTTTATTCCTTATATAAAGGAAATGTGCTTTGCCACAGTGAGCTATCTGCCACAGTGGTCCTCAAGAATCACAGTGGTTTTCACCACTGCATCTTGACACACTTACTCAACATTGTTATTCCTTTGCTTTAAATATTAAATTTTTTACCTTCTTTCAGTTCTTTTCTTCCCATCTCTGGGCCTTTACACTCTGTATCATCTCCCTAAAATATTCTTCCCCTACTTTTTGCTTGGCCAACACCTTTCAGATTCCAGCTTAAAAGTCACTTGCAAATTTGATAACTTAAAAATGGATCTCATTGTTTGAACTTAGTTTTCTAGTTAGGTTACACATTTATTCATGGTTGTTACTGTTTCCATTTTTGTAAGCTGCCCTTTGGCTATAAAAGCTAGAATTCTGGTGTGTTTTTTTCTGTTTCTATGCATTCTTTTTTTTTTTTTTTAATCCTCAACCGAGGATATTTTTTCCATTGATTTTCAGACAGAGTGGAGGGGAGGGAAGAAGTGAGGGAGGGAGAGAAACATCGGCATGAGAGAGACACATTAATTGGTTGCCTCCCTCATGCACCCTGACCAGGGCCAGGGATCCAGCCTGCAACTGAGGTATGATGTGTCCTTGACTGGGAATAGAACCCATGACCCTTTGGTCCACAGACCAACACTCTAATACTGAGCCAAACTGGCTAGGGCTCTGTGCATTCTTTCTTTTCTTTTTCTTTTTTTTTTTTTTTTTTTTTTTTTTTTTTTTTTTTTTTGGTCTAAAGTTTTACATATGTCTCCTGTTTCCGCAATTGACAACCCCCACCCAGCCATTCTGCATTCTTTATATGTGAAGATGTCGTATTTGCCATATTTATTGTAAACATTTTTCCAGTTTCTCTGTGTTTATTTTTGTTTATTGTATGATATACAGGATTTTACATAAAATTATTTTTTCCTTGTGATTTGTTTAATTGCCTTTAATTTTAAAAAGTCCTTCCCCATTCTGAGATTTGATTTACCTATATTTTCTTTCAGCTTTTCTTTAATAGTATGTCGCTTATTTTCCATAAACTCTCTTAGATATTAATGGTTCCTGGAAATGCTTTCTACATTGACAGCTCAGCTCCTAGCCCTTACTTTAGAGCATCCTTCTCGTTGGCTTCTCCAGAACAAATGGATATAGTAAGTACAGTATTCTCTTCAGCATAACACTAGATATCAGTTCTAATTTGTTGTTGTTGTTAATCCTCACTTGAGGATATTTTTTCCATTGATTTTTTAGAGAGAGTAGAAAGGGAGGGAAAGGAAAACATTGATATGAGAGAGATACATCTATTTGTTGTCTCCCACGCATGCCCGATGGGGCCAGGGATCAAACCTGCAACCCAGGTACATGCCCTTGACCAGGAATTGAACCCACGACCCTTCAGTGCATGGGCCAACACTCTAACCATTGAGCAACACTGGCCAGGGCTCAATTCTGTTTTTGGGACATGTGTTCATTTTGTGAGTTACATTATGCTTTTAGGTCTTGGGTTTCTGGGGGGCGGGGAAAGTATTAGTTGAAAAGTCATGAACTATCATAAAAAGACACATTTACTTTGTTGCTAGACTTCTATAGACAAATGAAGATACTGACTTTAATTTTTTTGTTTTCAAGAATAGTTTTCAGACCTACTAAACAATGTTCATTGATCACCAATATATTATGAAGAAAATATCTTCCCTTCCTTCATAGAATTAACATGAGCCCAAAGTGCAAATTGAGGCCAGTCTCCCTCATTGAGGAAAAAAAATATCAACAAATCAAAGGGAATAATACTCTCAAATTAATCACAAATCTAGCTTTAAGCAAAATAATAAGAAGCAAAGAAACAAGTTCCTCAGAACTGTATGTCTGGGAATCCAAGCAGAAGACCCATAAATTGAATGGTGCCATTAACCTTAAAATGAGTTGGTACCTATCTTTGCAGATGGATTGGTTCTTTATTTATTTGCTTTCTCATGTCATTAAATATGCTTTTCATAAGTTTTATTTTTTTGTTTTGTTTCATTTTCACCCAAGGATATGTTTTTATTGATTTTTAGAGAGAGAAGAAGGGAGAGATAAAGAAAGAGAAACATTGATGTGAGAAAAACATCAGTTGGCTGCCTCTGTAGGCACCCCAACCAGAGATCGAACACACAACTTAGGTATGTGCCCTGACCGAGAATCGAGCCCACATATACAGGGTGATGCTCCAACTAATTGAGCCACTCGACAAGGGTTTATATTTTTTTATATAATAGATTTGGGCAATTTCAACTATATATAATGTATATGCAGGTGAGAGATTACATAAAAAATAAAATAATAGGTGGTGTAGAGAAAATCAAAAGTGGTGACCTTGAGGGCCACACGAACAACAAAATAAAAATCCTGGGAATCTGATATGCTTATATCTACATATATTATGACACTGACAGCATCCGACCATGATAAAACTGATGCTTCTAGTAAACTTGGTTTTCACTGCTTTATCTCACCCTTAGATGGATATTCTTTGTTTGAATTTTTAACATTCTGACAAACCTTTCCTAAATAGTACCCTACTTTCATTAATTCTTATCTATTTTCTATTTTAGGCCTTCCAGAGATTAGCTGAACTTATAAAAGAATCTTTGTGAAGACATCAAACTCTTCATAGTACTCATGGACTTTTTAAATAAATTACTTCAATGTTTTAGCAGCAAGAAATGATCATTGATTAAGACTTACAGATTGTGTTTCATCAAACATGTCATATCTGTAGTCATTAACTAGATAACTTTTAAAGTGCCCTTATATCCACCATATTGCCAAAATATATTTATAATCCATGTATACCTTTTGATAAATTTTCAACTTGAAAAAAATTATTTTTATCATGAATTTTATTGTAAAGAACTTTGTAACTGTTTTATAATTTCTCTTAAATTTTCTTTGAAACTAACATTTGCAGTAAATTATTTTGAAAATGTAAAAATATAAGTCCAAAATGGTATATAATGTAAACTTTTTCTATGTTTTAGGAAAATATAATAAAATCTTGTTGCAAAAATTGTTAGAATTTGACCATTATAAATGATTTTAGTAAGAATACCACAGATATTATGTTATGCCATAAAAATCCCTTTAAAATAAAATTCTGAAACTAAACATACCTGAAGGCATCAGACTTATTAATTCCAAGTAAGGAGGAGAAATCAGGACTTAGAAAAATGTACTACATTGCTTTTTCATAATACTGCACAATTTATAAAAACATATTATGTAATTTGAATCATTACAACCCCTTGAGATATTTACGACATATTAATTTGATTATTTTCTTTCTCACCTTTTAAAAGGTTTATTTTTCCCATCAGATTACTAAAGTAATATATGCTTATTTAAAAATTTCAAAACAAGCCAGGAAATATAAGGAATAAAGGAAAAGCAGCCACTTATTTTCTCACCCCCCAAAGACAATTGCTGTCAGCATTTATCATTGGTCCTTTTGGATATTTTTTATACATATTCATGTAACATATATAAGAATAGGATCTCGTTATGGTAGTGTATCATAAATACCCTGTATTTTTTAATGCCATGTAATTATCACATTGTTTCAAGATCCAGTAATTGTGAAGTTATAAGTTTCTTAAGGAATTAGTAAATTTATGTCATCCTTTGTGTGTATAAACTTCAGTATTATAATTTTTTTTCCTGGCATCCAGTTGAGATGTTACATCTTCCTACAGTTAAAGCTCTTGAGCAAAAATCTCACCTCAGAGCTCAAATCAGCTGGCTCAAATCCCTTTTTCTAAGACAACCAATGGTAGTTATTTAGAATATTGTAAAGACACAGAGGCTGGAGGAGGATTGAGATGGAGAACCTAAGAAGAAAGTGTAACTTAGAGAGTTAATAAAAGTAAAACTAGCCTTCCAGCCCTGACCGGTTTGACTCAGTGGATAGAGCGTCGGCCTGCGGACTCAAGGGTCCCAGGTTTGATTCCGGTCAAGGGCATGTACCTGGGTTGCGGGCATATCCCCAGTGGGAGATGTGCAGGAGGCAGCTGATCGATGTTTCTCTCTCATCGATGTTTCTAGCTCTCTATCCCTCTCCCTTCCTCTCTGTAAAAAAAATCAATAAAAAATATATATTTTTTTAAAAACTAGCCTTCCACTTACTTTATTCAGTTTTTAACAATAACCAAAATTGCTTAGCCTGTATTATATAAATGAGTGCATTGTTAGTCACCAACATGGAGTAATTGATTTATAAGTTGACTTGTAATCCCCATATTAACCACAATCTATAGGAATCTGTTTCTTCCAAGAAAAACAGAGAGAAAGGCAGAGAACACAGGTGACGACGAGACTGTCCCTTAATATTTATGTTTGTCCATTGACTTTACCTTCCCCTGATACTAAGAACTAGAAAACTAGAGCCTCACATGTCATGGCCATTGCAAATGTTTCCAAACTTTAAAAAAAGCAATTGGGCAGTATCAAGGAACATTAAAATGTTTATGTTCTTTAACACAATGTATGAGATACTGTGGATTGACTCGGCATAAATTCTGATTTCCTTCTTGTGTCTTTGAGCACTGTAAACGTGAAATACTACCTTTGCAGACTCCCTTGAAGTTCCGGGTATGACTGAAATTCCTTCATTCAGGTGCCTGGATTCAGAACTGAGTTAAAAGGGGGTCCAGGCAGGATGCAAGAATCCTCTTGCTGGCATAGTTGAGGCAGCGTGAGTTCATAGCTAGCCGCTTCTTGGTGGCTTCTGCTTCTGCAAGAATGAAATTCTGGGGCTAGAAATTGTTCCTGGAATCTCCATCTACTTTTTCAGCCATTCCAACAATGTTGGAAACCACAGAATACATGATGATAAGCACTTTTTGCCTAACCGGCTAGACTAGTTCTCCTTAACGGCAACTGAAGGCCATTGGGCCAGTGTGTCAGGAGTCTCCAAGACCATCCTCAAGCTTGGTGTTTCCCTAAAAGGACCCAGAGGATGCAGAAGTTGTTTTTGAGGTACAATTTATTACAGCAAAAGGATATATTAAGATCTCAAAGGGGAAAGGTGCATGCAGCAAAGTCTGCAGGAAACCAGACACAAGCTTCCAAGGGGACCCTCCCGGTAGAGTCACACAGGATGTGCGTACGTCCTTCAGCAATGATGTGTGACAACATGTGCACAGTCTTGTCAACAAGGGAAGCTCAGTTGAGCCTGGTTGTCCAGAGCATTGGGGGTCAGTCGCATATGTATAACCCTATATGACTAACCTCAGTTACTGAGCTCCAAGCCCACAGAGGGCACGCAGGTGTTCAACATGAATCACTTCGTTAGTATAAACCACCTGGAAGAGCTATTATAGCAGGCTCATGACCCCGCATGCAAAACACTCTTATCAGTCAGAATATTCCAAGAACTCAGTTCCCAGGAACCAGCCAAGGGTCAGTCAGGAAACAGCCTTTCTGGGAATGTTTACTGTTTGGATAACCCAGAGCTGCTGAGTTATCCTTTCCCACCCACCAGAAATCCTATGTCTAGACATTTATAATAAAGAATGACCCAAAATATGGAAGAAACTAAAAACCACAAAGGTAGTAATTATAACTTAAAATTCTCTAACATGGCCCTTTAGTTTTATCACTTAAGATTAATGTTTTTAATATAACTTTGTTGATTTCAGAGAGGAAGGGAGAGGGAGAGAGAGGAAGAAACATCAATGATGAAAGAGAATCATTGATCGGCTGCCTACTTCACTATTGGGGACCGAGCCTGCATCCCGGACATATGCCCCTGACCAGGAATCGAACCGTGACCTTCTGGTTCATAGGTCAATGCTCAACCACTGAGCCACTGTGGCCAGGCTAAGAATAATTTTTTAATGCCTTAAGCAAACCAGTCACACTTGTTTCATTTGGATAAACAGAGATTCTTAAAGGCAATCGTAAAAAATATATCTGTCAGGACTAGGGGGTAACTGCCACATAATGGAAAATCAAATTGGAAGTCATAACCACACAACAACCATCACCAATTTGAATCTGGTCAAAAATTGCATAGGTTTAATTTCCTATGGTTAGTCTATGTAGCTTCTTTATGGCAGCCATGGGTCACTATTCATGGTCCCCAGTTAACTGAAGCAGCTAGAAGCAGATGGCTATTTCAAGTTGGCCTAAAACGGAACAGTTATCACTTGGCATGGCTCTCTTTTGATTTGAATTTGAGTATTTATTTGTGGACTTTGGGAATTTCCTCCCCTCTAAGTAAGAAAGTCTTTAATGTTTCCCTAGAATACTTTTATAGCAGAGTGCATCTTCAAGTTCCTTTTTAAATGCTAACTAAATCTTCAGTGGGTAGCCATGATTAACTTTATCAAAAGTGAGTGCAATTAAAAATTTTAGAGAATCTAAAAATCTCCATGAAAATCAAATATTGGCTGAACCTCTCATTTTAACTAGTGATATGTATTTATGAAGAGTTTACGTTTCCTGAGGTCAAGAACTTCCTTCTCTGGCTAAATTGCTTTTCTTTCCTATTCCTGCCTTCAAATTGTTTAATCCCCATTTTATATCATGTACTTTTCGTAAACAGTTTCTTTTTTTAACTTGTAATTTACAATTGAAATTGAGAAATGTAAATACTAACCTGAAATATGGCCATAATTTCAGCAACACTTCGTATTTCAATAGTGCCTTTGCCCAGACACTATAATAGTGTGTTCATTGGAGTCCTTGGAAAAGCAATAGAAATTAGAACCTAACAGAGCTCTGACTGTTACATGTAAGGCAAAACTAAGAGAAAAGAAGGATATTTTTGCCTACACTTCAGGGATATGGGCACCTGATGTGAATGTGCAGACCTCTGGCTACCCTCCTGCTTGTGGCGGGGCAACTGTCCACCAGCCTCAGCCCCCAAAGACTTGCCACAGGGTCTTCTTTCCAAGGCTCCTGGAATCCCACCAGAGCCATCTCAAGAAGAAGGCAACAGAGTAGCAGGGCACCTCTAATTCCATAGACACCTAACTACCACCCTTCCAGCAATGTAATTCATAGCAGAAAGTTAAGAAAGAAGAAGGGAGGGCAGACCTGCACACACTTGACCTGGCAACTTTAGTTCCAAGAATTTATCTTAAGGAAATAATTTCAGGACTTCCATCACAGCGTATATTAGTGAAAGAATGAAGCCGATGTTCAGCCGCATCAACCGTCCTTCTAGTGCCCCTACCTGGCCCTACTTCCTTCACCTGCTAATTCCTACTCACCCTATAGGGCTCAGTTTAATTTCCACTTCCTGAAGGAACCCCACCCTGGGCCCCAAGACAAGGTAAGGGCCTTCTGTGAGCTACTCACACAGCCCCCTATCTTTTTGTAGCATTTACCACAATAACAAGTAATTAACTGTGCAATTATTAGTTAATGTCTGCCTGTTTCCTTCTCCTCCCAGACCATAATCTTTGTGAGGATATGAATTGTCTCCATTTTCTTTACAGCTATACCCTCCAAGTCTGTCACAGTGCTTGGCAGGTAGCAGACTCTCCAAAAATGTGTGTTGCTATTGGATTGTTCACTCTAAATGGTTAGAGGGGGTTGGGGAAGTAATACAAACATTAAAAATAAAAATAAATAAATGGGTAAATTTTATGGTATGTAAATTACATCTCAATAAAGCTATCAAAGAAGATGTTACCATCCTATACAATAAAACCCTAATATTCAAATAGAACGAATGGCAGAATGACCGATGGCTATGACGCATACTGACCACCAGGGGGCAGATGCTCAACGCAGGAGCTGCCCCTGGTGGTCAGTTTGCTCCCAGAGGGAGAGCTCTGCTCAGCCAGAAGCCAGGCTCACGGCTGGTGAGCACAGTGGTGATGACGGGAGCCTCTCCTGCCTCCACAGCAGCACTAAGGACCCTTTAGGGGATGTCCGCCTGCTGGCTTAGCGGGGAGTGGGCCTAAGCCAGCAGGTGGACATCCCCCGAGGGTCCTGGACTGCAAGAGTGTGCAGGCCGGGCTGAGGGACCACCGTCCACCCACCCCCGCCCCCAGTGCACAGATGTTGTGCACCGGGCCGCTAGTTAAAACATAAATTAAACTAATAAAAAAAATTTACTATTTAGTAGCATACAATGTAATTAGAAAAAAAAATATTTGGGTTGTGTGTCTGTTGGCATGGGAAAATATTCAAGAAGTACTATGCAAAAGTTTTTATATAACAGTTTATATATGATCCTTTTTTGCTTAACAAAAAGATATATCCATGTATTTAACTAATATTTATTGATTGCCCATATTTCCAGCACAGGTCTATGTGTTTGTGATACATCAATGAATAAAGATCCTTGTTATCACCTGGCCTGGTATGGCTCACTGATTGAGCATTGACCCAGGAACCAAGAGGTCACTGGTTGATTCCTGATCAGGGCACATGCCCAGGTTTCAGGCTTGATCCCCAGTAGGGAGCATGCAGGAGGCAGCCAATCAGTGATTCTCTCTCATCATTGATGTTTCTATCTCTCTCTCCCTCTCCCTTCCTCTATGAAATCAATAAAAAGAAAAAATTAAATAAAGATCCTTGTTATCATGGAGCTTACATCCCAGCATGGGAGAGTGACCACAGGTAATAAACATAAGTACATACATTATACAGTATGTGAGAAGGTAAAAAGGACCATGGGTGGCAGAAGAGGGTTTGGGAGTGTCAGGGAGAGGCATGCTGCAGGGGGATTTTGTTGTTGTTTTTATATACATTTATAATGTTAATTTATTTCAAATTTCACACATCAGGCGAGGTGAGCTGTGTCCCAGAAGATGGAATATAAACAGATCTATTTGGGACCTCATTCAAGAAGTCAACTTACCAACAGGAGGGAGGGGGGTAAGAGATCAACCAAAGGACTTGTATGCATGCATATAAGCATAACCAATGGACATAAGACACTGGGGGATAGGGGAGGCTAGGGGACTGTCAAAGGCGGGGGGAAAAAAGGACATATATGTAATATCCTTTGTAATACTTTAAGCAATAAAAAAAAAAAGTACCTCAATATAACATGGCCTGCACATGGCTTGTGGCAGGCACCATGGCAGGTAGCAGGTTTAAGTAGGGCAGTTAGCCTAATCCTTTGAGAAGGTAAGCAAAGACTCAAGAGAAGGAGCTAGCCAAGCAGGTATTTGTGTAAGCAGCAACCCCAAAGCAGGTTTGAGCCTCACCTGTTTAGTGTGGCTGCTGCAGAGCAAGCAAGAGAGAGTGCATTAGAAGAGAGTGGGGTAGCTGGAGAGTGTCTTATTGCCAGTGTACGGCTTTCACTCCATGAGGGGTGGGGAGCCATCATGATTTTGACCCGAAGAGAGAGGTCTCCTGAGAGAATGGTGGCTCAGACCAAAGAGAGGGCAGAATGGGTGGTTAGGAGAGGTTAGTGTCCATAATTTTAAAAATAGAGCCCATCGGATATCCTACGGATTGAATGTGAGACATGAAAGAAAAAGGGATCAAAAACAAAGCGTTGGACTAAGCAACTGGGGAATGGCATTGACAATAACCAAGAGGAAGGCAGAGGGTGAGGCTGATTGCAGAATTGGAGTTTAGCTTTGGATGAGTTATTTTTGAGAAGTCTAGACATCTGTGACAGTTTGTTTTCAACTCATTATCAGTAGCACACTCTTCTGAAGCACAGCAGGTCCTCAAATAACGCTGTTTGTTCACTCACATTTTGTTATTACAGTGATGAAAAAAATCGATTCCTGCTGGCCTGAGGCCACTGTCTGTGGAGTTTGCACAGTCTCCCCTCGTCTGCATGGATCTTCTCCAGGGTCTCTGGTTTCTTCCCACATCCCCAAGTTGCACATGTCAGTGACTGGTATGTCTTCATTGTCACCGTCTGAGTATGAGTGTGGATGGGAGTGCACCCTGCAATGGAAGGGTGTTCTGCGTGGGTCCTGCTTTGCACCCTAAGTTGCTCAGAGAGGCTCCAATCACACAAAACCCTGAACTGGAATAGCAGGTTGGAAAACTTGTTTTTATTAATCTTTCATTTACCTGCTCACATGTATCTGATAAGAGATGGGACTATATTTCCCAGAGCTCCCTTCCCCATCAAAGTCAGCTGATGAGAGGCCTGAGATTTGAAGCCCCTGTCCTCTGGAAGTTGTTAAAGCAGGAATGAGTTCCAAGTGGCTTCTGAATGAGCTCTTTGAAAATTGCCCACATCAGGGATAGTTGGTGGGTGCATGTTATTCCAGCAGCTCCATAGCTTTGCTTCTGCCTGAGAGAGTTGCAGGGGGAGGGAGGGGAGTGGGGGTCCTGCAGTGCTTACTGCAGGCTGAAGCAGAAGTGACAATTCTTTGACAATTCTTTTCTTGTTAATTTTTATTAAATTTATTGGGGTGACATTGGTTAATAAAATTATACAGGTTTCAGGTGTACAATTCTATAATACAACATCTGTATATGGTATTGTGTGTTCACCACCCCAAGTCAAGTCTCCTTTCAACACCATTTATGCCCCTCTACCCTCTTCTACCTGCCCCCACTCCCCTTTCCCTTTGGTAATCACCATACTGTTGTCTGTGTCTATGAATCTTTGAATTCTTTTGCCTGCCCCTCCCCGAGCCTTCTCACCATTGTTTTAACTTCCAGACCCCTTTATCCAAACCCTTCATACTCAGATGCATAGTGGGTCTTCTGATTTCCTAATTTATAAAGTATTCAAATGGGGATGTGAAGTCAGCAGTTGGTAATGTCCACTGGGAGTTTGGGAAAGAGGCCAGGGCTGGAGATGAGATTTGGGAGTCGTCAGCAAATATGGATGTTTTAACCTTGAGCTTGAATGATCAACAAATGTAGAGAGAAGTTCAAGAACTGACCTTGGATCAAACCAACACAGACAGTCCAGTACAGGAAAGGAGAGACCAAGTCGGCTGAGGAGGAACCAATGAGGCAGAAAGCCAGGCCAATGCAGTGCTCAGGAGAGAATCACCAACTATGCCAAGTGCTGCTGGTGGGTGAATTAGCCAAGGGCCGAGAATTGGCTCATTGGATCACGAAAAGTGAAGGTCATTGGTGACCTAGACAAAAGAAGTTGTTTGAAGTGGAGGGGGTTTGTAACGCTGGTTGGAGTGGGCTTAAGAGACAATGGGATGGTCCTGGCTTGTGTGGCTCAGTTGGTTGAGTGTCCTTCTGTGTACCAAAAGGTTGCAGGTTTGATTTCCGGTCAGGGTACATTGATGTTTCCCTCCTCTCTTTCTCTCCCTTCCTCTCTCTCTAAAATCAATGAAAAAACCATTTTTTTTAAAAAAGAGAGAGAATGGGAGGAAAAGAATTGCCCTCAGCTGTGTGCACTGCCGAAAGCACAGTGGTATACATGAAAACATGAACAAGCAATAGCTCTGGGTTGTGAGGTTACAAGTAAGGTTTTGTCTCCTGTATTTTTTTTATTGATTATATGAAATGAACATGCAATCCTTCTATAATAAGTAAAAATTATTAGCAACATCCCTCTCTGAATGCTTCAACCACCGGCCTATGCTGGCCTGAGGCTGACTCTTTAGTTCCAAGGGTTCAGGTCTTAAGAAATAAAAATAGAAAGTTCTCAGATGTGAGTCTCTGTTCCCTTGCTCCGCCTTCCCAAGAACCCCAAATGAACATCTAGGCTGCTGTTCCCCAACTTCAATTATTGAAGATTTTGAAATTAAATGACAACTTGAAAATTCTTTTTAATAAGTAAAACAAATGTTTATGGACCACTTTCCATGTAGCAAGAACTTGCTAAACACTACATTTAAAAAGAGGAATGCACTAGCTGGTTTGGCTCAGTGAACAGAACACTGGCCCATGAACTGAAGGGTCCGGGATTGGATTCCGGTCAAGGGCACATATCTCCGTTACAGGCTCCATCCCCAGCCCTGATTGGGGCTTGTGTGGGAGGCAACCAATCGATGTGTCTCTCTCACATCAATGTTTCTCTCTCAGTCTCTCTCCCTCCCTTCCACTCTCTCTAAAAATCAATGGAAAAATACCCTTGGGTGAAGATTAACACACACACACACACACACACACACACACACACACACACACACAGGAATATACATGCCAAATGCTTAATTTACACCATGAACACCATTTACTCAGGAGAGCCACAGACCTATCCAGCTGTTAACTCCATTGAGAAAAGAGGGCTAATATGAGAAATTTCAGGCACTTGAAAGTTGTAAGACCTAAAAAGGTAAAAAAGAAACCTTGGGACATCCAAATGTGACATTATATAATAGCCAGGAATGTCCCCTTATGGGGATGAAAATAGCTGGGAGATTTTTGAGAACTGCTTCTACAGAGGGGCTCTTTTCCTCATCTTGTATTCCCAGCACCTCTCCCAGTAACTGCATATGGTTGGCACTTAATTAATATTTACTGAACTAATTGCCTTACTTGCTCTTCTTTACTGAAGTCATGATGATTACCCCCTCTTTCGGGCAAATATAAAGTTGGGTTTAAAGAGCACACTAATTACAGACGAGTAAAGCTAGAGAAGTTTCTGAGGACCCACGGGGGCATTGCTCTCCAGCCTCCGGACGATTTCTGGAGGCTGTCATGCTGTGTTGATGCGCTAAGTTTCTAGTCCCT